GCACAACAAGATGAACACCGGATTCATAACAGTGGTTAGGTAAAAGGTGATAATATATAAGAGAAAGATTGTATATAGAGATATAGTACAAGAAGAAAGAATTGGTTCGTAGAAAGAAAGATATGAAGCGATTTTAATCTCTTAGTTTAAGGGAAGACAGGTAGTGTATACACCGACGCCATTGTGATCGATTCTGAGCCATGTCACCAAGAGTCTCCAACCATTGGTTACGATAGTCACTCGAACCCCAAACAAGTAGTCTGCATCTACCAACATGGCTCAGACTAGAGGTTAGTGTCTTCAAGCACTGATGCCACATTTTAGTTCGGCCGCTCCTAATTCTCTTCCAACCATCTCTAACATCGGTTAGCATTGCACAACGTGGTAATCGGTGTTCAGGCATACGTAACACGTGGCCCAACCATCTCAGTCGATGAAGATTAACAACCTCATCAACTGATTTACCATCATTACCTAATACCCTGAGTCTAACCTCACTATTACTTACCCGGTTATCCCAGCAGACGCCAGCAATATTTCTTAGGCATCTGTGGTCAAATACTAGTAGCTTACGAGTGTCTTCTACTCTTAAAGGCCATGTTTCGCTGCCGTAAAGTAAAACAGAACGGACTGCCGCGCAGTATACTCGTCCTTTTATTGATAGACGGATATCTCGCCTTCGCCATAGGTGACGTAAGTTGGCAAAGGCCAAACGAGCTTTTCGAATCCGTGCTGAGATTTCGTCCGATACCAACCCATTAGGGCTGATCAGACTTCCAAGATAAGTGAAGTTGTCAACGCGTTCGACTACTTCACTCCCTATACTTAGTTCAGGTGTTGACGCAGGCCAGTCCTGGAGCAACAACTTGCATTTAGAGGGAGAGAAGCGCATTCCAAACATTCTGGCATTGTTGCTTAGTGCTACCAAAAGACTGCATTTTATCAGCGTCTTCACCAAACAGGACTATATCATTTGAGTATTCTAAGTCGATAAGTGGACCTCATGGAAGGAGCTCAATATCCGAGAATTCAGCAGACGAGAATGTTATTCCCATCAATAGGTCTATGATGAAGTTAAACAGAAATGGAGAACGTGGACAGCCTTGACGGACACCACTTGAGGTTGCAAAACTAGATGACAGTTCGCCATAAGCTCTCACTCGACTAGTAGTGTTCGAGTAAAGAGCCTTTACAAGGTTTATGTACTTCTGGGGTACGCCTTTCAATGACAGACACTGCCACAGAATCTCGCGGTCTACCGAGTCAAATGCTGCTTTTAAGTCAAGAAAGACCACCATCGTCGGACGCCGACAAGTATGCCTGTGTTCTGGAACCTGACGAATGGTGAATATGTGGTCGATGCAGCCACGACCAGGTCTGAAGCCAGCTTGGTTTTCTCGTATTTGCAGTTCACGAGTCTTAGTTAGGCGTCTGATTATTATTGAGGCTAGTATTTTAGATATTATATTAGTTAAACTAATCCCTCTGTGGTTGTCACAGGATGATTTTGACCCTTTCTTATATATTAGGACGATAAGTGATTGTGACCAGTCAGATGGAATAACGTCTAACTCCCAGATCTTAGCTAAAATATTAGTCAACCTAATCGCTAAAATTGGACCACCATCCTTAAAGACTTCTGGAGCCAATCCATCTGGACCAGCTGCCCTTCCTCGTTTCAGATTAACTATAGTCTTTTGAACTTCAGCAAGAGTTGGGGGACCTACTTCAATGTTCCATTCACGCTGTCTGGGAATGGAGGGTAGTTGTAGAGTAGCTGAAGGCCAGTTGAACTGTTCTCTAAAATGTCCCGCCCATCGTCCTAAACGTGTGAACTGGGAGCATATGAGAGTATCGTCTTTTTCCGAAATAATCTCACTTACACTTGACTTATTAATTCCAGTTTCTTTTATTAGTCTGTAAAGCTGTCTTGTGTTCTCTATAGTCGCCGCCTTTTCAAATCTCTTTTGCTTTCGTTGCCCACCACTGCTCACAGTCGTTTCTTAGACTTTTTCGTAACCTAGATCTGATTTGTTGTCGCTCTTCATCATGTTCGGAACCTGATGGGACGAGTTTGCGAGAATCCATCAGTGTGATAGACTTTGAAGAGATCCACTGGTTCTTTGAAACTCTGTGGTTTAAGTTGCTAATAGATGTCACTGCTGCTTCCACAGCTGCTTGTATATCTTTCCAAGCAACATCTGGGTCAGCCTCGTCTTCAGAACTACCTAAGTGTGACCTCAGTTGTTCTTGGAACCTATTTTTGGTTTTCTCGTTACTCAACTCAGTTCTAATGGGTCTTTTCAATGTGGCTTTTTTGCGTCCGGTGAGGCGCAAGCAGATGCGTGCCCGTATTAGGGCGTGATCGGAGTCCAAGCAGGTACTCCAGAATGAGCGACAATCTTCTACCGACCCTCTCCAACGATGACTGATGGCAATATTGTCTATTTGAGTCCATCGTTGGTTTGGTGTAGGGGGTCGCCATGTTAGACGATGTCTCTCCTTATGCTTAAAATTTGTGTTTGCTAAAAATAAGCGATTGTCTGAGCACAGTTGCAGCAGACGGTCACCATTATCTGTTCGCTGTGCCGGAATGCTAAAATATCCACCTAAATGCCTTTCTGTTTGGTTTAAGCTACCTATCTGAGCATTAAAGTCACCCCCTACGAGTACTATGTCTGAGCGTTTAGCTTTCTGAAGAAGTTCAGATAGCTTTCTGTAAAATTCATCTTTCACATCATCTGAGCTGCAGTCAGTGGGAGCGTAGGCAGAAACGACAAAAAGGCAACGACGTGTGTTCCTATCCTTCCGAGTTCTTACGGAGCCGTTTAGCCGAACAGCAAATAGACGACTGTTGACGGGGATCCACTCTAGCAGTGCTTGTTCCACCCTCATGCTTAGTGCTATGCCTACACTTTTCATTCCACGAGAACTGGCCATCGGGTCACCAGATACACGTAGGGTGTATCTCGTTGGCTCTCCGTCTTGCCGAGGTGAGGTCAAGTGAATGACCACACTGGAATCCTGTATGCGTGTTTCGGAGACACAGCATACATCAATGGAAAGAGACTCTAGGGTTTTAGTCAAGGAAGTCTGCTGACCGATTTGACATAGAGTGCGTACGTTGAAAGCTCCAATGTGTAATTTGGAGCGACGTTTCAGTAGACCTGGGACAGAGTTTTGAGCACTAGAATCGTTGGCTACGGTGACACTTGAGGAAGAAGCCGAAGGAGGAAGTTTAGGGTTGAAAGTCGATGTAGGAGGAATAATAGGAATTGAAGAGGAAGGTTGATTATGAATACAGTGGTCTTGGGTGCTGTTAGAGGTATGAGGGCGGTTATCACTTCCCGGTTGCCCACACCGTGGAAGGGTGGATTAATTGGAGTTAGACATTAACACCGTTGGATGCCGGCTCAGTGGTCTAGTTGGTTATGCGTCTGGCGTGAGACTGATAGGTCCTGAGTTTGAATCTCACGAAGTGAGATCGTGGATGCGCACTCCTTAGGAGTTCCACAATAGGACGAAACGGCCGTTTAGGTTTTCCATGGTAGTTTGGCTTCAACTGACTCATGATCTCAGCTGTTGAAATTACTACAATCTCCGCAAAACCCCCTTCTGATACGATTCAATATATTACTATTATATTGATTATAACGTGACACTTTACTACTAATCATTTTGACCTTTATTAAATGATCTTTCTAATTTACAAATAACACAATTCTAAAGTATTTATGTCGTAACATGAAAAACGTTCATCATTTCTTAACACATAACATCATCAAATTCAATTATGCATGCCTTATTTTGATCTTAATAAAATATTACAATAATTATGGAGTTATAAATGTAGAGACTAATGATAAAGTTATTGAAAGTATCTGTTCGCTCAAATAGTCTTTGTTTTTGAATAATTTGTATATGTGTGATTTATTTATGAATACACTTATCTAATTATCCAGGGTTAGATAACAGTTATTATGAAATACTACTGATATTAATACTTCTTATAATACATTTGACTAACAAGCTCTAATAGGAATATACAAAACTCAGATTAAAATTTTATTGATAATTTCTCTCACAATTGCTGAATATTGAAATTCCAATCAGTTAGCTTTACAAGAATTTTATAAATTTAATTGACGGTCATATGGATGTTAGTTTCAGCTAAACACAAAGGAAGGAATAGGTACGTTTTCTTAGTAATTCTTGTTTCATGATGTAGTTCAACTCTGAATAACAAGTGGACCGAGCTCCTAACGTTTTCTTTTGAGTTTATCATTTCAAACTGTGAATATACTTATACAAAAAATAATAATTATAATTCAATAAAACAAAAACTCAGATTCTACATAAATAATCGCCTAATATGTAGTTCTCTACAAGGCTCAGGAATAATTCAACACCAACAAACACTCATGTTGATCCTTATTCACTATAAAATTCATATAGAAAACTCGTTCATGTTATGAATCTTTGTCACGTGAGATGGTTGAGAGATGAGTCACGTATGTTCGACAGCCGCCCAACTAGCTCGTCAGATGATGTTAGCTAATATAAAATTCTGAAGAAGGATACGGATAACCAGACGAAGATGTGACATCAGTCTACCAAGTAGCTATTAACTGTTCTTAGTAATATTGATATATGAAGACTATTTGATAAGAATCCGTGCAATAATAGCTATACGAGGTAAGAGAACAGGATCGGTCAAAATAGAGTAGATGCATGCAATCTAGGTCTTGAATTCTAATAACCCTTCATATATTCCCTTTCTCTCTATCACATCTCAAACCATATTCTCAATATCCAATACTTCTCATTATTATTGCTATTATGTCATTTTGACTCCATCGTTATTCATTTTTTCTCGTTCATATCTCATATTAACATAGTCTGTGAACTTGAGGTAACGCAAATTTGTACCAGACCCTAATATTCCAAATCACAACGACGAACTGACAATATTCAATTTAAAACATAATCTACTATAATTTACAATAACAAAACATTGTTATTCCCTTCTTCATAACAGTTTTAATCAACAACAAGAAAAAAGTTTAACCATTAAAGAAAACATTAAAAGATAAAAGAAAATGAAATAAAGATAAAAAGCAGTAAACATAGAAATCAATAAAACGATGGAATAAACAACGAATCATGAAAAATATTTTTCTTTTAAAAAAGAATAAAAATTCCTAATTTTAACAAACAAAATAAAAACAAATTGAATAATGAATGAGAAAACAAACTGTTTTACAATATTTTCTTGAAAAAAAAGATTTTCTCAATGAATTTCATGGAGATTCAGGAACATTTTTCATCCGGTCAATTTGAATGTTGACAATGATGATTGATGATTGATCTCAACTTTATTATTATTATTATCAATATCAAGTGAATTAGATTTGGAATTATGTGATAATGTTATCGATTGAGCATTATTATTATTATCATCACCAACATCATCATTCAGAACAACATTTAATTTAGATGACGATCGTTGAGAATTATTGACAGTTGATGTCTATGAAAATTGTGATCAGATGTACAGAAAAAGAAATGGTTATCAACACATATGATATAGTAGTACTGAGAGATGTTAAGAAAAAAAAGTGTTGAGAAATGGATTATCGGATAAAACGGTTGTTATCATTATCTATCGTCAGAAGATAAAGATAATATCAAAATATGATTGATAACGTGACAGAATATCATTGGAAATTGTCACACTTATACACAGTTGATTCATGCAAATACATATCTACATGTATATTATTTACATGCTAAATCATAAATTGGACATGTTTATACCTGTCTTCAGTGTGTTATCTTGATACACAAGAAACTGTAAGTATGGGATAATGGAGTTACATTGAAATAATGAACAGATCAATGTTAGACCACCATCGAAAACATGGAAAAACTGAACGGCCGTTTCCCACTTACATTCATCATGTGCTCACAAGTAAATATCTTCAAGAGCAAGTTGTCGGAGTTTTGGTGTGAAGCCGTGATCAGTGAATTTCAACTGTGTCAGGTGTGAGGCAGTTACTCACCGAAATATTGTTACATGCCAGCTCAATGGTCTAGAGATTAAGCGTTCGCCCTAAAGTCCAGGTTATAGTTCCTGTTTACGTGGTCGTGGATGCGCAGCGTTGAAGAGTCCCATACAAGGACAAAACGGTCGTCCACAGTTTCCAGGTTTTCGATAGTGGTCTAACACTGATCGGTTCGTGATTTCAATGAAAATAATTTTAATGAGTAATTTGGTTGAGACAAGGAGAATTTTCAAATACAGAAATCTGGGTAAAAGTATAGCATAGAAACGAACCAGTTAAAATCGAGAGCGCGACTATGTCCATAGACGAAATTCAAGTATCATGTATAACTAGAAATACAAATATCTTTCCATAATACTCAAAAAACCATTTTTTGACATCAGCAGGCAAAGATGAAAATGTTAAATGTATTGAATCCTTATTTCTCTCTCTTTAGAATGCATATGACAGCCAAATTGGCACTATTCCCAAATCCTGACCCTGAGACGAACCTTAAATTGTTGGTACTCGATTTTATGAGCAAACGAATCAGACAGCGCTTCTTCGATTTTTGAGTAAAATTCATTAACCCTATATAGCATTTTTACATTTTAGCTTATGTCAATTAATGATGAAAACTAAATCTAAAACCACAATACTAACTAAGGACGATGTGAAGACTCGTAAAAATGTATTTGGATTTTTATAAGAGTTCCAAAAGACAGACAAACTATACTCATAATTCCGTTGTTTTTTTTATTTAGAAATAGAGTGACATGCAGAAGACGATAATAGATTTATTAATTATGTAAAATCTGTTCATACTTTGCAATATTGTTATTTTCTTTTCCATAAACTATCCACATACAAACCCTGTTTTTTGATTGGTTAGAAACTATCTGGAAATTTACCGTGGTTGTTTTGATTCCATCCTTACACTGCACTTCTACTGAAATTTGTCTAAATATTTCCTTTTGTTTTTCATTATTGGCTAGCGAAAAAGGAAGCGTCAAAGCAGACAATCAGTGTCAACAAAATATTACTCAGTCAGCTTTTGGGATAGTCGGGTCATAAGGACAAAATACTCATAGCCGAATCCATACAAGCTGTCACAAGGTTAAATAAGAAGTCTAATGTACAAAGACCATCGATAATCTATAAGTTAAATTCCTTACATAGACGAAGTTAGAGCCAGTATGTATTCGAGATTATCACAGTATATGGCCTTTTTAATAGAGTGGTCTCAATTAAGGATCCATTAGAAATAATGAAGACCTCGATATAGATAGAACTATTTGGCTCGAGGTCTCACAAAGAGTGCTTAACCATTGGAAAATTGAGTGGTAGCTTAAACCGATCCACATATATACAAGGTTTTGCGTTGCAAATGACTGACTTATACATTTCCGATTTCAGCCCATTCATCATACAACGCGATGATCAACCAATGATGTTGGCAACAAATAAATTGCCTTCGATGTGTATCAACATTAGTCGCGATTATACAAAATTAGAGCTTCAGGAAGTCCTAATTCTAAACCGATGGTGTACATAGACTGCAGGATCTTGGGGAAGCGAACGGAGTATGAATTCATCCTGATCACCAGCTATCATGGAACGGTACCGTTCGATATTGCCCCACTACCTTTTGTATTATATCTCAAAGTGAAAGGGCCAGGGGACTGACCTCTTAAGAAGACTAACTGATACAGTTCAGATATATATCCATGATTTCACCACAATGTTATTTCTCTATTCATGTATGACATATTCGATTTTTAATGACCATTTATATAAGATTTTATAAGTATTAAAACCAACTAAAATTGTTCAATGTACATACAAAATAACAAAAGCAAAACAGTAAAATTTATCTTAGTAATATTAACTTACTTGAAGTGAATTCACACTAGTTCCAAGTCTTGGCCACTCTGTTTCATCTGTAACTAATCCAATAGGTTTTAAATTTGAATCAGATAATTTTCTGTTAGACGGAGTACTTTTTATTATAATAACCTCAGTATTTTTAATTAAATTCTTTTTATCTTGATTGATTGTTTTAATTCTACTTGTAACAGAGTTAATAGTTGATGTAATGATGGCATTATTATGACTAATATAAGTATTAGCATTGGTAGTGGTATTAGTATGATTAGTCCTAGACTTAAAACTATTCTTTTTATATTCATTACGAGGCACAGTGTTAACTTTTTCCATCCCAGTTGTATAACTATCATAATAATCGTGTTGGTACTGTTGTTCCTGCTCATTTAAACAATTCTTAGTACTTTTACGGATATTATTATTATCATCATTATTATTTGTTTTAGCAATATCAGTAGGGTTAATAGCACGAATCGAATTATGACTGCTACGAGAGGTAATGACAACATTTTCATTGGTACTTGCTTGACCATTGAATCGCTGTTGATGATGACCTATATGATTAGTAGAAGCAGTAGTATTGTGAGTGCTACTACTACTACTAGTAGTAGTAGTAATGATAGTTTTACACTTTTCAGAATGATATTTCTTTATTCCATTGGTAGGGTTTTGTTTTAACGCACCGATAGAAAGTGAATGATTATTATTACTATCATTATTATTATTATCATTAATATAATTTTTATCGTTATCATCAGTAATTATACTATTGTGAATAAATTCTTCTGATTTATGATGGTGAAGAACACTATCATCGCCTGATGAATGCTTTTGTAACCTTTTATTAAACTCTTCAACGGACCCACCACTATTAGTGTTACCATTTTGATGATAACGGCGACGCGATTGATTAGTGTTATGAAAGTTACTAACAGTGTTAATACGGACTTGACTTGTCAACTTATTCGATGTAGCAAGTTGTTTTCCATGGAATGGTAAATATTGATTACTCTGAGGACATTGTTGTCGCGGTGAATGAATCATCAACGGTGTTGTATAATTTGATTGTGGTAAACTATTTATAAAACTATGAGATATTACATTGTCCGAAGGACAATGTTCATGAATATGACATGGTTGTCGACTGTTTGTGTTGACATTAGTAGGGTTGCGATTCATTTCTGAGTGTTGAATAGGATAATCTGGAGATGGTAAACTGGGATATGTACATGACCAATAACTGACGGCTAAGGGTGCCATAGGTATACCTGGTGTGGTCGATAGTGTTTGCTTTTGTATGTGTTGACAATTCGATCCGAAATATCCCGTAAAACCACGTCGATCAGAGTCATTATGTAAATACATTGTAGCATCAAGATCACATGAACCGGCCGATGGAAATACAAAATTATTTTGATAATGATGATATTGTGAAAATCCACCGGGATCACAACGTGATTGACCAGTAGGAATATCAACAGACTGTTGTTGTTGCCGTTGTTGATGACTTTCTTGAGGATGATTTTGAAGGTGTGGATTTGGAAAAGGTAGAAAATGTTGATCATGTTGTAAAGCTGGTGATGTATACGGTCCAGATATGTATCCACTGGTATGACCTATTGTGATTGATTTATCAAAAAGTGTATTTCTTCTTGATTGGAAATTAAATTTCGATACTGGCAAAGCTGTGGAATGAGATTCAGTAGAAAGAAAAAAAGTAGATAAAACCGTGTACAATACAGAAAAATTGTCAGTGTTAACAAGAACATAACACAAAAGATGAAGAGTTACGTAAGCAAAAACAATACTTTTCATTATTTCCCGTAAACTGTCAAATTTGTTACAACAGTTAAAATCATGAAGTCATAATATCAACCAGTCATTAAATTCTAGAATTCTATATCAACCAAAAAACCGATTTACTGAGGTTTGTATAATTATTTTTGCGTCGGTTCCAAATACTTTGTTTATCGAAAAGTATAAAATACTTTTAGTATACTTGATACGTGCTTAGCAGTGGAATTTATGATACTCGTCCCATCCCATTTCAGACTCATTAGACTTATGGACCCGTAATCTAACGTTGATATTGAAGCTCGAACTCGCCACATTTTCCTTCAAATACACGTGTTATTCACTAAGCTACTGTATCTAAGGACAGCTTCTAAAGTGTAGTTTCCTTTTGTTGATACTCAAGACTGTAAATGATCAGTCTCAACACCAACACCAAGATCTAGGTACCTTCAGTTGATGACTCTCAAATACGACGAAACGCGAAACCTGCATTTTATTGATATTTAAACACCTAGTAAACTAAAACTTGTGAGATCAAATAATATATAGGTAATCCGCTCAAGGTGCACAAATAAATCTACTGAGAGTGATAATCAATCTCAGTTGTGGATATTACCAACGGAAAGTTACAAACGTTTATTTGGAAACATCACCGGACGGCCGTCTCGACTTATTATCGGAATCCTGACGAGTGCGCACCCACGATCCTGGGTCTGGGAATCGGACTTAGGATCATTTATTTCGTGCGCAACCCTTAAGCTTTAGACTACTGAGCCAACATCCAATAATGTGCAACTATTTTACAACCGACATGAACACTGGTTTAAAATAGTTCGTGATTTAAACTATGAAATTTTATTAATTAATATTGGAATAGATGTGAAGGTTAAATTAAAACCACCACAGTACGAATTTTATTTTAATAAATAAATAGCACTAAATTGTTACAGAAATAAATTACAATATTTAGAGGTTACCTTAAAACAAAAGTCTTTTTCTCAATGACGCAATTATAACACACGTTAATGAAAAGCTCTATTTAGTCACACTGAATGATACCTACAACTTTAAAAAAATATTTTATCTGGCGTACCGACTATGTTGGATCCGCAGTCATACTGCTTATACTCGACAGTTGGAAACCACTCTAATTCCTTGATCCTACTGCTCATAATTCGAAACAAGAACCATGGTAATTTCAACGACATAAACAGGAACACGAAAGGCTGGTGCAATGAAGATTCATTGGCTCTCTAAAAAACAATTCACCTGTTCATCCCATCACATCACCGACCAATTACAATAGGAAGATTTCTCTGACAAAGGTCGAATATCAATGTAAACAACTTTGGATATATATATATATATATATATATATATATATATATATATATATGTATATATGTTACATGACGGTGGGATAAGAGTTCAAGCAACCTCACAATTAAAACAGTAACACGACAATCAGTTAGTTAAGTAGACACAAGTAACCGCACAAAGAAACATAAAACCTCAACTAATAACTTTCTATATTTAGAAATATTTTTTAAAATAGGCCTAGAAAGTTATTAATAAAAACTTTTTAATAGGGGTATTATTGCTAAACAGTTAACCTTTGTCTGAAGTAAAGAATTTTTTTAGCTAAATGTGCATAATTTACCCATCATTAAGCTATTAAATTAAATTAATAAGAAACCTAGAGGAGTGGTCAAGCCAAAATAAGACCGAATATCCATTTACAAAAACAATCAATTATTCCACATGGATAGTTTTTTAAATGAATGAATGCGGTCCACATTGATACATATATTAATCATGTATTATCACTTATCATCCAACAAGCTAAGTCTCTATTGTCCAATTTTAATGTATAAAATGAAGGAAGATTCAGTTAAACTATATAAAACCTATAAAGATTATCACATCGGTTAATAACAATTGGTGTGAATGTATAAAATAATGAAGATGCTACAACTGCTCAGCAGGACGTGGTTAATGATGCTAGACTTTCTGAGCTGAATAGTTTATTCGAGCTGCTTTTCAATGTTTGTTTCTTTCGAAAAATTATTATAACACACTATACCAAATCAGAAAATATAAACAGTCTTAAGATGATAATGATAAAACCAATCACATGACGGTTATTTAGTTACACATATTAAAAAAAGAATACTGATACACACTACTTGAAAAATGGAACTTTTTCGTTACGTTGAATATTTGAAAGAAAAAAAACTACTCGAATATAAACTCAGTAAAGTTTTTCTATCAGGCTTTTATCATGTACAAAAGTTTAGAAAACCGTTTAACTGAATAGACAGAATAAAGTATAAATACTATTTCATTGAAAAAAAAACAACGAGCAAACATGACAGTACAAACAGAAGAATAAAAAGTTTACAACGACGACCTTTGGCCCAGTGACTAGTTTTGAGAGGAAATTTCTAGAGTTCTAGTGAGAAGTCGCGATCAGTGGATTTCAACTGTGTCAGGTGTGAGGTAGATAAGCACCGAACACAATGGAAGATGGTCATGAAATATCGTAGGTTGTTGGAATTATAAATTAACACTAATGGATGCCGACCCAATTGTCTAGAGATTAAGTGTTCGTCTGTGTGACTGAAAGTCCCATGTGCATGGTCGTGGATGCGCATTGCGGAGGAGTCCATGTTAGGACGAAACGGTCGTCCAATGTTTCCAGGTTTATAATGAAGGCTAGTGATTTTTAATCAAATTCGACATTCGCAACAATCCTTTACTAACACAACTCGAACCTAGAACTTAGTGGCCTAACTGCACATCATAACATATGAACCACTCTTGAACAGTTTAGTTTTTATTCATCCAGCAAGTACAAGGTAAAACAGGTAAAATGAAAGATTCTTCAGTCAATGAATTACTCCGAGAAGTTGATGTGTTAAGAGTACATCACCAGTTCACTCATCAAATTCAGATGGTGAAGATCTGTATTTCGCTGGATGACTTTGATGGAAGTTTAGTTCTCACAGTTAGTTGTTTCATTATCACGCTTTTATTGTTCTTCCAAAGAACATCAGCAGAAGCATCAGATCAGTAATAACCAATCAAAACCAAAGTCAACAGCACAAGCTGCCAATTAAAATAGTTCACTTCTACCTGAACTTTGTACTGATAATATTGCTCAGAAGAACAATGAAGGCTCTATGATTAAACCATCCAGTTTAGGAAACAAAACTCCGCCAAAAAAATTATCGAGTTGCACAACAGATTACATCATTCACCATTGTAACCGAAAGCTGAAAAAACTTTTCTTCGAAATAAAAATGTTAAAGAAACACACACACACGCACGAGATTAGTTTACAATTAAAGAAAATCTGTTCGATCACACAGAACGAGGTAAACAAATAAAACGAATTGATGTATGGGTTATATTTACACAAAATTGGTTAGTGTTATTTATAAAATACCTATTTTTAATGCATTAATACCGTTCGATTAGTGTTATGAGACTTTATTTATCATTGTTGGCAGTGTGCTGTGATTAGACTACAACAATAATAACAGCAATCTGTTAACATAAAAGTTAGTGGATAATCTACTATACCTTTACGAAGGATGGACAATTCCATTAATTGCATCATTTTCACTTTGTCTTCCTTATCTGACTGTTTTTTTGTGTGTATGAGTGTGTGGAGACAGAGGGAGAGAGAACAAGGAAAGTTTTTACACAAGACATGAGAAGATATATGTACATATACACATGACAGATAGTACTTATGAAAATATAAGGTACATTGGAATACTTCCAATTTTGATCACGATGACTGAAGATCCTGGGGTTTAAGTGTCGAGTGCGGAATCATGAACGTGTACTGCTGAGGAGTCTCATACTTGGTCGAAATGTCTGTCCAGTGCTTTCAGGTCTTTAACAGTGGTCTAGCTTAGATCGACTCGTGATTTTAACTGTGTAAAGACAAAACGGGTTTAAATCGTTCATGAACAAACTCCGAAAACTCTAATTTATGGATTAAATCCTAAACTATTTTGCTTCTTCGAATGATTTGGTATTAAAATAATAAATACCATAAGTCGTGTATAATGTGCTTGACAATAAAGATTGTACTTCACTTAAAACAATTTATCTCTACTGTACAAAACCATTACGATAAACATTAAGGGAAAGTATACTGTCAAATCAATCAGTTTTTAAGTTTAAGAGCGAAGTCTGAACTGCAATGTTAGCTATTGATTGTCGACATATAAACAGTCTATTTGGCTACCATATGAAGTGAAAACGATTTCGTATGAATGGAAAAAAACATGAAATCCTTGCTTACATTTCTAAATACTAATTGTGTTGGCAAAGTAAATCGATAAGGTCTGATGTTTGTTCAAAATTAACTCTTAAATAAATCATATTATTAGTAATCTTCATTGTATATTAGATAGGTATACAAATGTTATTCATTTATAGATTGTTTTTCGATAACACCTTTTAATCAACCTAGTAAAACCTGTGCAATCAAATAGGTAGTAGTAAATCGCATAACAGTGGTTAATGAGTTAAACAAAAACTTATGATAGACGGAATGTATAGGTATAGTAATAGAGCTATTAAGTAACAATACAACAAAAATATAAACAATAATTCAAAAAAGGGTTCTGGAAGTTCCAAATGCCCCACGAATTCGTGCTTCTAAATGCCATGGTATGGTAAAGGGAGGAGAGAGTCCCCTATCCTTTTCGAAATGCTCACACATGGCTACACGTATACAGCCACTTCTAGGGATGACCTGCTAACTGTCTTCTTGTAGTAGGGGTATTGTTTATGAAATTGAGAGGACGGAAAGCGAATTTCCGGTGTTTTAACTGGGTTGGTAGATAAGGAGGATCTATATAAAGGGATTGGAAAATCCTGATACCAAACCACTGGTGCACATGAGCCTCAGGATTCTGAGGGAACATATGGTGTATGAACCAATCGATAGTCACCGGATATCATTGGATTGCATCTCTCGACGTTGCCCCACTGTCTTATGGATTAAATCTCTAGGCTACAAGCTCGAGGTGTGATCCTCTAAGAAACCACCTGCTTCGCTTTGGGCGTCCGGGCAGTATCCCAACCCTCACACAAATCAAACGAAGTGTAGCGCACACATATTTGGTGCCTGCTTGTACTAATGTTTATGTGTTTCAATAAACTTTTCATCTTGTTATAACGCTAGTGAGAAACTATGGTCATACGGCATGTTGAGCATTTATCCACAAATGGTAATAATAACACGGATTGACTGAAGTTATTTAGACATATAAACTATGGAGTTCCGGCCTAATGGTCTAAAGCCTAAATACTCATCCTGACGACTGGAGGTCTCGCATTCGATACTCTATGGTGAAGGTCGTGAATACACGCAGCTGATGAGTCCCCCACATTAGAGTAAAACGGTTGTACAATGCTTGTTAGTTTCCAACAGCTCTCTCTAATTAAGGTCAATCTGTGAAGTAAACTATAATTACTTACCTACTTCTCCATTCATTTATCTACATATTTATTTGCAAGTTTCTCAACCTTACTATGAACGTAACTGATAAACTCTGATCACTAGATATTCAATGAGTGAAACAAATGAAATGGAAATGACAAGATGATTAGTGGCAGTTTGTATACAAACAACGGCACAACTATTCTGGTTGGGAGTAGAATAAATCACTTTAAATTAAGGTATACTGTGTACACAGTTGAAACTAATTACCAGCACTATTATCGTCATTAATAATATTATTATTATTATTATTAGCAGTAGCAGTAGTAGTATTGATAGTAAGTAGTAATTATCATCTGCATGTATGTTTTATTATATCACGAGATTGAAAAATGGAAATGAATAAACAAATAAATACAGAACCATATAGGTAGTTTGAAAAGTAATAAAAATGACAATATATATATTCACGAAAATAGATCATTTTGATGTTAATACTGACAATACAACACGTGGTAATGCGTTGTACACAAATGATTGTGGGGAAAACAACACTTTCGCTTACCAAGAGAGAGAAGAAAGCAATTGATGGTAACAAAATCAGGCAATCAATGAAAACTTAAAATGAGTTGAAATCTCATTAATATGACCATAGAAATAGAAAGATGTACAAATATTAGTAATGACATGTACGCTGGTTGTAATAGCTATTTTACATTCACTAAGTATGTTTTTTTTCTGAGACAAATGTCTTAATACTAGCTTATAAGAAAATAGAAATGCATTTAAGTTTAAACTCATCTAACGTAACTCAGTAAACAAGTGTTTTGAGACCCGATTCTATGTGAAAAACTAAATGTACAAAAC